ATTTAAGTAAGAAATCAATAACAATCAGATCTCTGATATAACCCCAATATTTTGGAATTAACAACACACACTTCCAGTCAAGTCATGAGTCAAAGATGAAATCACAAGGGAATAAGAAAATATTTAAAAATAAATGTCAACGACAATATAACACATCAAAAATTTTTAGATGCAGCTAAAGCTGACTGAAAGGGAAACTTACAGATTAAATACTCATAATAGAAAAGAGGAAAGACCTAAATGTAGCAATCTAATGTTCTACTTTAAGAAGATGGAATGGAAAAAAGAACAAAGTAAAACCGAAGTAAATTTAAGGAAGAAATTAATAAAGATAAGATCAGAATCAACAAATTAGGAAACAAGCAGACAATACAGAAAACAAACTAAGGCAAAACCTGGTTCTTTAAAAAGATCAACAAAACTGACAAACCTCTAGCTAGACAGATTAAACAGTAAAAGAACATAAACCACCAAAATCAACAATAAAAAAGAGGTTATCCACATAGACCCTACAGACATTAGAAGAAGAATAAGAATACTGTTAATAACTTTATGTCAACCAATTCAACAACCTATCTGAAATGGAACATTTTGTTAAAAATTATGACTTACCAAAACTGACTCAAGAAGAAATAGAAAGTCTGAAGAGAATTCTATCAAGTAAAAAAAATTAAGCAGTAATTAAAAAAATCTTTCGACAAGGAAAAGTCCAGACAGTTGAATCAGTCACTGTTGAACCTCTCAAACGTTAAGAAATAATCCAGTTCTATTCAAAAGCTTTCAGAAAATAACCGCAGGAGAATAATTCCCAACTCATTTTATGAGGCAAGTGTTACCCTGATTCTAAAGACAAAGGCATCATGAGGAAAGAAAACTATAGACCATGGACGTAGATCCAGAAATCCTTAACAAAATATCAAATCTAATGCAATGATCTAATATAACACAAAATGATAACATGATAACCAAGAAAGGTTTATTCCAAGAATACAAGGTTGATTTAACATTCAAAAATCAATATAATTTCCCATATTAACAGAATACAGGAGAAGAGCTGTATGATCATTTCAATAGATACAGAAAAAGCATTTGACAACATTCAAATTCATGATAAAAACTCTCAGGAAACTATGACTTTTCAAGTTGGTCAAGGGTGTTTTTGAAAAACTTAGAGTCAACCTCATACTTAATGTTGAAAAACTTAATTATTTTTCCCTGTGATTGGGAACAAGGCAAGGATGCCTACTTTCACAACTTCCATCCCACATAATTATTGAATATAGCAATATGAAGAAATAAAGGGCATATAGATGGAAATGAAAAAAGTGAAATTGTCTCTATTTGTAGATGATATTGTTTACGTAGAAAATCCCAGGTAATCTACAAAAAGAAATACTAGCACTGCTAGAACTAATACATTTAGCAAGGTCACAAGACATAAGATCAACATATAAAAATAAATTGTATTCTCATACACTGGCAAATGTTGGAAAATATTTAAGAAACAATTGCATTTACAGTGGTACCAAAACATTAAAAACCCTAGGAATAAATCTAACAAAATATGCCCAAGATCTCTACACCAAAAAGAATTCTGAGAGATTGCCAAAATTTTCTTAAAAAGATCTATATAAAGGGAGAAATAGTCCATGTTCATAGATAGGAAGACCCAACATTGTTTAGTTGGCAATTCTTCCCTATACATTCAATGAAATCCCAGTAAAAACTAAAATTGGTGTTTCCATACGGACCTAGAATAACCAAGATTTTTTTTTTTTTTTTTTTTTTTTTGCTGAGGAACATTCACCTTGAGCTAACATCTGTGCCTGTCTTCCTCTATTTTGTATATGGGTCACCACCACAGCATGGCTGATGGGTAGTGTAGGTCCACACCTGGTTTCTGAACCTGTAAACCTGGACCACTGAAGCAGAGCATGCCAAACTTAACCACTATGCCATGAGGCCGGCCCCGCAAAGCAATTTTTAAAAGAACAGTGTTGGAGCACTTGCCTTACCTGATTTCACAACTTCACTGTAAAGAAGCTGTAATGAAGATATAGTGGTATTGGCAAAAGATGGACTTACATATGGATGGAACAAAACTGAGTCCAGAAATAGACCATACATATACAGTCAACTGATTAAATAAAAGTGCCAAAGCAATTTAATAGGGAAAGGAACTCTTTTCAACAGATGGTGCTGAATCAACTGGATATATGTATGAAAAATGAATGCTCGAATTGACTTTACTGCTTTGTATTTTCACTCCTTTATCTGTTTCATAGTCTCTTTAGTGATGTTCCCCTTTTCACTGCTGACGTTGGTGACTTGGTACTTGTATTCTCCCTCTCTGTCTTTCTCTGTCTCCCTGCCTTTCTATTTATCAGTCTCTCATGAGCGTATGAATTATGTTAGTCTTATCTCTCTATCAAATACTTGTATGTTTATTAATTTCTGCTTTTACAATTATTATTCTCTTCTTTCAATCTTCTTTCTTGCCTTTGAGTTGATTGAGGATTATTTAAAATTGTATTTCCCCTTTTTTGGCAGTTATATACCCTTTTAGTGGTTTACTCCAGAGACGACAACTTGCATCTTTAACTCGTTGAGGGCCAAAGCTAATTACTTTTAGACTCTTCAACTCTAATTTCTTTAAACGAAATTCCTCTTCTATATTCTATATCTGTGGTTTCTCATCCATGCAGACTTGGAGTCTATCTACATCTCTTTCAGTTGTTTCTGCTCTCATTCATGTTGCTTGTTTTATGTCCTGATGATCCTAGATTAACATTTTATTACTGATGTTAATCTGTGGGACTCCTGAGAACCTACATTTGGGATGTTTTCTTCCAGAAATGGCTTGTGTCTGCTTCTGCTGGATGCCAGGGGATAATTTCAGTCTGTTTCAAGGATCTCAGCTCAGTGTAAGAAGGCTTGTTTCAGCCTACAGCCTCACTGCTGCCTATGCTTCAGTGCTTTGATTTCAGTGCCTGATCAGCATCAAGCTGGGGGCAATTCCTTTCCTCCTTGCCACCCAAGTCTGCAGCTCCCAGCTAGCTGCAGGGAACATTTTCATGGGGAGAGAGATTCCTTGGAAAACATCACGTTGTCTTGCTAATCCAGTAATGCCCTAAAAATGTGTTTTATCCAGGATGTATTTATTTGGCTGCAAGTGGGACCCTAAGACCTCCTAGTTCATTGTTTTGAAAGAAGTAGTAGTACTGATATGCCTAATTTCAATGGGGCAGGGTTGTGGGACTATTGCTGAATCAGCTTTGTGCAACCTGTTGTTGCAACAGAATAATGGTGTTTCATACTGTGATTTACATCATATTACACAATCATATTTTCAGTATGTAAATTGATGGGAGGAGCCAAGTAATGTATATAATCTTAGACTATACATAAACTTTAGTTTGCTGAAGTGTGAAATATATATTGTATATTTAAAACCTTAGGCTTGATGTTTCATTTGCCGTTTTGTATTTTCCTCTTATTTTGATTTTCTTTTTTCAATTAAGAGATCAGTTACTTTGAACTGAGTTATTAGATGCAATGTTCAAGTATTTTGAAGATTTTCATCTATTTTGTCTTATACTTCGCATCACAGACCATGACATTTGGGATAATTATATGACACTAAATATATAAATAGACAGTTGTCTATAGGCACACATCAAGGTGTGCACACAATACTGTGTGTTTCTATGTATATATATATACACACACATAACCATCTCTATTTGATATCTAGCAGAAAGTTTTAGTCTGGTTCAGACCTCTGACTTTTCTTTCAATAGTATATAACAAAATAAAAGATGTGACTATATTTAATTTTTTTGCAAATTAAAAATTTTGTTTTATTTAAGTAAAATTTTGATTACTATAAATCAGTGATTCTTAACAGGGGGTGATTTTGTGGTGACATTGGCACTGTCTGGAGACGTTTTTGGTTGTCACATTGGGTCAGAGGGAGGTGCCACTGGCATCTAGTGGGTAGAGGCCAGAGATGCTGCCAAACATCCTACAATGCATGGGACAGCCCCCACAACAAAGAATAATCCAGTTCCTAATGTCAACAGTGTTAAGATTGATTTATCCTTAGGATTTAGTTGATATAATAGCAAACTGGATTGAGAATAGGATTGAATACCCAACATTTGGCTTCCACAGTTTTTAAATGAAGGCTAACAAACAACTCTACATATTGATGGAGAAGTTGTAAACTTGTAGTTAAATATGGTCAAGCTGATGTTTTCAATGTTTATAGTCATTCAGCATGATGACATCACAGTGAAAAAGTCACATTTATGAGGTGCTGGGCAGCTGTGTCGCCCTCATGTCTTGTTCCCTGTGGGTGTCTGAGATCTGTTGTGGGTAGCAGAGTATCTGCTCCCTGGCTGGGACAAAGGCATCAGCCTGAGCAGAATGGCTCTGCACTTATAGCTCCTTCATCTAATCCTTTTTCCTACCTTTCCCTGGACACTCTTTTCTAAATCTGTTTAGTACTGTGAAAATAGTTACTTGTTTCAGTTAAGTAGACCTTTCCTCCCTTCTTTGAGAATTATTAAAACCATGCATTTTCATTTTATTCTTCTAAAACTCTGTGATGTTAACTTTAAAAAGAAATTTGAAATGCAACTTACTTGAAACACCTTCTATATGGAATGGCATTTCATTATGTACAGTTGAACAGTACTCCTATACACTGATCTTGAAATAAAGAGATGGTCTTTCATTCAAATTTAGATTTAATGTGGACATTAACACAAATGAAAGAGATTCCTGTCTCTGTTCTTGTGCTTTCTTCTCAGTGAATCTTCGGTGTGCATATATGACAGTAAATTACTTACAGACTGAATATTGGAATCTGATTTTCTTTTAAGAAATGAGCCTGGGCCTACCTTATACCTTTTTTCATTTTGAAGACATAGTTTTAAAAGTTTTTGCATATATTCTCAGTTTTAAATTGATTCTCATCATACATCCATTTCTTCTAGGCATTGGCACATCTCCACTTAATAGAATATGTTGGAGAACAGACTGCTTTGCTAATAAAGGTACATTAAATGCTGCAATATAATGTGTTCTAGCCACTATTCCTTTGATTTTGTGAAAAAAAAATCTGACAAGAATAGGTCATATTAATTATGTAAAAAAGTATAGCAGGGGAGCTGTTTTATCCTGTCTAGCCTAGAGATGCAAGGAGACTTTTTCCAAAGAATATATGGTTACAAATGCCTCCAATTTTGCTATTAGCCTTTAGTTAAAACCTGTCTAAGAAGGAGAGCAACTGAGACACCAGTCTCAGTAAGTGAATGTGCAGAGGGCCCAGCCCTGGGGCTCTGCCAGGAGATCAGGTCCGTGTGACCCCTGTGTGCTGCCACCAGATGCAGACGAGGAACAGAGGCCACTCTACTCCCCTTCTCATGGGCTGGTTGGCTTGGTCATGGCTAAGAATTGCTCAGTTACTTGTGGAACCCAGCCAAGGCTCTTGGTAGGGGTCAGGAAAGCCCAGGCTGGTCCTGTTTGTATACCTGGGTCTGCCTTGGTCTCCTCATGTGTAAGAGGAAGAACTGACAGCCCTCCAGTCCCTTCTAAGTCTCACATGTCCTAGCATCGGATCCTCAGTGCATGTGATTTAACAATACAGCTATGATACACAGTGCTGTTATTATCTGCTCCTTCCAGATGGTCCCAGAAGATCGGCGCCTCGCAGCTGCCATCATCCTGGTGATCTGGGTCTCTGCCATTGCATCATCTTTGATTGACAACATCCCATTCACTGCTACCATGGTGAGTTGCACATCTCCTCCTTGTGGTAAGGGCCCAAGTTTCAGCCTGGACACAATCTGGGCTCACCCTGCCTTCCACAGGAAGCAGAGAATAAACCCTGACCCTTTGCTGCACTCACAAGTTTAGGGGACAGACATGGCAGAGCCCAGACCACAGGCCAGGAACTGCAGTGGGTGGCGTGTCCTGGGGTGTCACCCTGACTGGGAGCTGCCACACCTCATGGAAAACACAATCTTTTTATTTTTTAAAAGAAAATTGTAAGACACCAAGACAGAGGCTGGTTGCAAGCATTCATTCTTTATTCCCTATGAATGCAGAAACTGTTCTAACCAGTCTGGATGGCTTCTGGTGCTTGGCCTGACAGGACTTTGAAAACTCTGTTGGCCTGACCCCGGCCAACACTGGAGATACACATTAGAGTCCTGTTACAGGGCTGATGAGCCCTGTTCCTACTATGTCTTCTGACATCACTGCTTGCTGGCCTTAGGGCAGAATTGTGAATCCCTAGTGTGACAAAGTTAAGGTGTGACAAGGCCTTGCATATAGGAACCTGGGGTCCTGTTACAAACACCTGAGGTCTCCAGTATGCTGAGCATGTGTGAATACTCCTCATGGCTGGACTCTGGATTGAGGGTGGAGTTGGTCTTTTGTTTTTGTGACCTTGAGGACTCACTCCTGTGCCCTGCAGAATAGTCCATGCAAGGGGGCTCCCATGACATTTCATCACCCTATATCATATTTGGAACCACCTGGGACCCAAGGAACAGAGCAGAGAACCTGGCAGTGAGGACAAAGGTGGGCCAGGCCCCTCAATGGGGGCACTTGTCTCCCTCACAGGACCTCAGACTGACCTGGGACTCTACGTCACTCATTCATTGCCTGGAATCATATGTCTGCCAGGTCACTCTCTAGTTACCTAGCTATTGTTCCTCCATGGTCTGGGTTGGATAGTTCTGAGCCAATTCTGTGGCTGTTATTATTTCCTCATAAAGTCCTGAGTTAGAGAAGTTGTGTGGATGTCGTCAAACGTCCCAGTTTTGGCTCACTGGGCACCATCATGACTGTGGCTGTGGTGCTGAGGCCCCTTGGAGGCTGAGGTGGCTGGGTCCTGGGCTTCTGAGATGCCAGGTCAGCTGGTGTGTGCATCCCGTTCTCAGATGAAATAGCCTACAGAAGACTCAGTGCATCAGAACCCTCAAGGCCACAAGGTATGGCCACAGTCCCCAGGATTTCACCCAGAAACGTTTCTCTGCCCTTCCTTTTGGCCCTGAGTCTCACAGCTGATACAGCCTGCTTCCTGGGGGGCTTCCAGGTTTGAGGACCCAGATCTTATCTGGGACTGAATGAGAGAGTCCTTGTTGTTAGAAATTTAGGTTCCTCCATTTTCTAAAATATGACACAATATTTTCATTCTTCAAATTTTAATAGTTGCTTAGAATTTAAATTTAAAAAATAAATCAAGGGAATCACAGAAGTAGTATAAAATACCTGTGTGCTCATCACCCCAAATGAGGATATTTGAGCATTTTAATTTCTTTGCCTCAGGTTTTCTCATTTGTTTTATTTTTAACAAATAAAACATTATAGATGAATATGACGTTCTCTGTCCCTCCTCTCACCCTACAGGATTGTGTTTGTCCTTCCCTCTCCTGAGGGAACTGCCCTCATGAAACTGGGGAATATACAGTCATTTGATGGCGCACTGTGGAAGGAACTAAAGGAAAGATCTTGGTTTATATGAATCAACATGGATAGAGACCAAATCCTGAGAGATCAAATCAACAGCTTTATGCCTAATTGGCACACAGCTTTCTAAAGCTCACAGATCTCTGTCACGTAACTTCACCAGGTTGTCACTTGGTGACCACAGTGGCTGGTCAGAGGAGCACATAGAGAGCCACTTGGGTTTCCATCTCAGTCTGGAAGTGGCACTGGAAGTGACCTGTCATAATCTTGGACAGGAGGTGGACCCAAGGCCCTGCCCAAGCACAGAGGTCTGGAAAGGGGCATTGGGTGGATACTGAGGTCTGTGCCACTTTCCCTTGCTCCCTTCCTCCCTTCTCTTCATTTGGGTGTCTTTTCACCACTTCTTTCTCATTTAAGTGGTGGTCAGGGATGTGGTCTGTAGGATTTCATACTTACACACCCTGTGAAACATCCTTTGACCTAGCATGTGGCCAGTTGTCCATGTGTATGTGAGCAGAGTTCTATACATGTCCCTAGGAACAAGTGTATCAACTGTGTTGCTTCTTTCATCACTTCTCTAGTCATTTGGTTCTGATAGAGCAGATCACTTCATGGATTTATCTATTTCAACTTGCAGTTCAGCACATTTTTGCTGTATAGTATGTCATTATATTAGACACGAGGTTCATTATTGGTGTCTCTTCTGGATGGCTGGTTTCTTTCACATTGTGTAAGGTTTCTCTTCATCTCTGCTCTGCCTCTACCTGGTGTATCTTTTTCTAATCTTTTATTTTCAGTCTTTTGAAAATGTTTAAATCCTTTTTTAGTTGTATTTTTTAAGCAGCATGCAAATGGATTTTTAAAATTTCAAGGAGGTAATCTCTGTTTTTTAAAAGAACAGTTTAACATGATTAAATTTTCTGTGTTGACTGATGGACTTGAGTTTGTTTCTACCATTTTATTATGGTTTTGCATGTATTATGCATGTTCTTTGCTGATTCTTTTTTCCCCTATCATTTCCTGACTTTTCTTGGATTGGTAAATCTCGTCCCCCAACTGGTTTGGAAGGTACTGGCTTTATTCCCAAGTTTTTTAGTGGGGCTCTTTCTATTTGTAATGCACATAGTTGTATCTGCATTTCAATCAACAGTTGCAATCAATAAAACCCACTTCAGTTAGTTTAAGGAGAATAGGAGTTTGTCTAAGGATAGCGCACAATTTGTGGAATTTCTGAAGGACACCCTGGGAAGGGGTCCACTCCATGAAGCTCCCAGCTTCTGCTGCTTTGTTTGAATGCCTGGGCTCAGTCCCCCAATGCTGGCTGTTGAATGCTGGGGCCTCTGTCACTCTGCTTTGAGTGCGCCTTGTCACAGTTCTCTTCCAATTTCTCTAAGTCCACCTCTCAAGCAGGGTGTCCAACTGGTGGAGCCCAGGTCACATGCTTGTTCTAGCTGCAAAGAGGATGGGGAGAGTGAATTTCTGCTTCTGCCTTGGGGAGCCTGAGCTTATGAAACAGAGTTCCTCACACACAGGAGTTCCTCAAATTCTCCTCAATACCTCCTTAATACTTTCTTCTCCTCCATGTTGCCTTCTGTACCTCCCTGTGCAGGGCCCTGCTTGTCCTCTGGGGTCCCATAGCACTTAGTGCATAGCTCTGCTGAGGTAGTCATAAAACTGATTGTCAAGACATGTCTGCAGCTGTATCCTCTTATATACATTTGTATCTTCATTCACTAGTGTTTTGCCTGGTGCAAAGAAGATATTTAGCAAATGTTTGCAAGTGAATGAAGTGAGTAAACTGCAGTAGATTAATTTTCCCAAAGTAACCCTTTATTCACATCAGACCCCCCCTTCATCCTCCAGGGACTCACTATTACTGTTATTGAGGGATCTGGACACCCCAGTGCTCCCTGTGTGCCTCAGAATCCCTCTGCCAGGTCCCCCTGCCATCTGACACCTTCCCTGATCTCCAGTTGGACTTGGTGCTGCTTTCCTTAGCATGGTGCTGGTGTCTCTCCTGCGCCTTTGCAGATGTGTTCCCCCACAGCACTGGGGATTGCTGGGTGCACTGGCTTCTAATGGGAACTGGGATAGGCTTGGGAATAAACAGATGTTATGAATCCACTGGCATTGGAGACACTACCGAGGTCTGCAGATGCTCTCCTTCCCCCTGACCTTCCTTCCTGACTGCCTGTGACAAGTTTCAGCCAGTACCCATGAGGTTGCAGCTGCTCATCATCTTCCCTTTCTGCCTGCCACATCAATGTGTTGTTTACTGCTCAGCCCCTCAATCGTTTAAGGCTCTTCTTCATAATAAATCCATATGTGTATGGATATCTCCCACTGGTCCTGGCCTCTGATAGATGCAGTGATATGAAGGGGTCTTTGAGAGGTGATTTAAGTTTCTTGCCAGGGGAGGGTTAACTCCTGCTCCCCCACTACCCCTGACCAGGAGCATCTTCATTCTGCATGGCTGTGAAGCCCTCTGAACTTGGGGTGTGCCTCAGAGAGTATGTGGGAGGAAATGGGAGTCTGACTTTTTTGCAGTCCTTCGTGTCCCTCTGCATCTCAGGTTGGAGTAGAAAGAAATGCAAGCTTCATCCCTGCCATCCTGGAGCCTCTGTGGCTTGGCCTGGCTTCCATGGACCTAGAGTTTGGGCATCTCTAGAAGAATAGTACCTCTACTGCTCTACAGGGTCTCGTTTCTTGGGCAGCTCCAGCAAAAGGCCCCACACCTACCTAGTCCTCACTGCATACTCTTGGGGAGGGCTGCTCAGGGTCCGGCTGCTGTGTGGGTTTTATTTTGGTGAGAGTCTCATGTTCTCAGCTTTGCTGTTTCCCTGGGGATTGAACAGGGAGACACAAGAACATTCTGTGGAAACACTGTTGGGTGAGTACAGGGGTAGAGATAAGTTACCTGCCCATGGCGGTCAGACACACAGTGGAAACACAGGAACAGCACAGTACGGTCCCTGCTGCCTGGCTTGCAAAGCTGCCTGCCTTTCAGCCCACCCTCCTTCCCTGTGAGAACATGGCTCTGGCCAGTCATTCTCCAGGTCAGGGGGATGCAAGTCTGTGGAGATTTTAACCTGTATGGAAACTTTATCAAAAAGGGTCAGGAAGCTGGCAGATGCAGTCACTATTTCCAATGACTAGAAATGCTGGCATACTCGCAGCAGGTTGAAAGCAGTAGGGGGACCAAGGCTGCACCTGACGACGTCATGAGGAGTCTACTCAGAAGGTTCGTTCATTAGAGAATTGTGAGCATTATTTGAGGGAAGTGAGTTCAGAGAGACAAACCAAAACCCATCTCC